CCCTCCCCCCACAGACCGACGGCCTGCAGGACTCTTTAGGACCAGAGAAGAAGGTGAAAGGCCGGACCGGCTGGCCGCAGCAGGTCTGGGCTCTGGAGCTGAACCAGTGACCTCCACCAGGACGCAAAGACCCCCCAAAGACCTCCTGATGGACTCTGGATCTAAAACCCCTGATGAGAAACACGCCGCTGTGCGCGCGCACTGATGCGCGGGAATAAAGGACAGGAGGGACAGAGACACGGAGACTCTGGTGTTTGTGGTATTTCTTCTTCTTCTTCTTCTTCTTCTGTTTGTCCTCGCGCGCAGAGCTGCAGTCCAGATGTGGCCATGCCCACAAACATGCCTTTTGACAAAAAAAAAAAAAAAAACGGCGCTTTTTTTCTGGATAAAAACTAAACACGAAGAAAATAAAAACAAGTTAAAAAAATCTGCAGAATAAAAAAACAGCGCGCGCTCAACAAACCTTTAAAATAAAACAAACTTTCAGAATTTTTCTATAAACAGTTCGGATCTTCTGACACAATTTGGGCGTTTTTCCCTTTTTTAGATCAAAGTTTTTTTTATTAACTAATTTCTGTCCAATCAGAAGTAAGTTTAAATCTTTATAAACTTTATTTTATTTCGTTTTTACATAAATTTGATCAAAAACTCTCATCAGTTGTAAATTAAAAGCAGAAATCGCGTCACGTTTTGTTTGTTTCAAACATAAAAAACTTCCCAAATTAAAAAATAAATAAATAAACTGAATTTGAGTTCAGACCCGCAGTCATGTTGCTTCAGTTCAAATAATAAAAAATAAAATAAAATTAATCTGGCCATTAGAAAAATTAAACATTTATATTTTTATTTTTGAAACAGTTTTCCCAGAATCCTCAGCTCTCCTGACTTTTCTTCTTCTTCTCAAATATTTGTTGAATTTCTTAAATCTACCTCAAAACTTTAAAGTCACTGAAGGTCGGAGAAAAATCAGATAAAAACAGCTTTTCACTCCGACAGGAAAAAAACAACGCTAAAATTCAAACAAATAATAATAATAATAATAATAATAATAATAATAATAATAATGAAAAAGTATGAAATGTTTATTGTTGTTGATGAAATGTGTTTAGATGTGAAGTTTTATTTGTTCCAGAAATAAACGGATTATTTTAAAACTTTCATGTTTTGATTTTTTTTCTTTCTGAGGTTTGTTTTAAACACAAAGTTTTATTCTTGTTCAAAAAGAGTTCCAGGTTAATTTTGTTTTTTAAAACAAACAGCAAAATGTGTCAAATTAAAGCTGCAGAAACCAAAAGTTTTTTTTTAGTTCTTCCTAATATTTAAAGATTTATTTTATGAAACAGTTTCT